TACTAATATTGTCTCCCTTTGCTTTGCATCTTTCTTCTGGATTTCATGGTGTTCCTATTTATCCTATGATTGTTGTTGTGATACTAATATTGTCTCCTTTTTGTCATTTTGTCTTTTTATTTTTTTGAGCCGATGGTCTTTCGGAAACAGCTTTTCTACTCCTTCGGGGTAGGGGTAAGGTCTGCGTACACACTACCCTCCCCAGACCCCATTAGTGAAATTTTACTGGATTGTTGTTATTGTTGTTGTTATTGTATATTTTTTTTCCACACATTTCGATCATTTGAGTAAAAAAGAACCATATTTTGGTTCTAGACTCTGAATTGAAACAGAGAAACTAACATTTTTTAAGAAATTTGTAGGAGATGGCCGGCTATTTTGTATCTTTGGATATTGCTTCTCTCCATTGACATTATTAATAGTTCCTTTCAAGTCTAAGCTTTAACTAACGAATACTTTGGTGGTTCGGTTCATGACTTCTGCCATCTAAATACAATTTTAGTTTTTTACACGCTTGATCCTTTTTAATTATTATTTAAAAAAATAGTATTATTTATTATTTATTTTATAAAGAGCACTTTATTTTTTATTATTAACATATTACAAAAATTAAGCCCAGCATTCATTTTCTTCACTCCATTTTTTAAAATCTGATGCATATGTGAATGCCACCTAAATTCAAGATGTATTGATTTATACGTCTTTTATACTTTGTATATCAAGTATCACTTTAATTCAAAATGTATTTTTATGTATATAATTTTTGTATGTTTATTTGTGAAGTGCCATCTTATTTTAAGATATATTTTTAATGTATATTTCAAATATATTTTATATGTAGAGTGCCATTTTAATTCAAGATGTTTTTATATATATATATATTTTGTATATTATATGCCATCTTAATTAAATTTAAGATATATTATTTTATGTATATTTCATATGTCTAAGTGTCATCTTAATTGAAGATATATTTTTATGTATATTTTTTGTATATTTTATATATGTTAATTCAATATATATATTTTTATATATATTTTGTATATATTAACGTATATTATTATCGAAGTAAGATCTTTATGTTAAGAAAGGAAGAAAGAAGGAAGACAAAAACTTAAGAAAGATAATTAAAAAGAAAACGAATGGAACAAATTTAGAAAATATATTGGTTTCGGCAGAAAATAAAATTAAGAAGATAGAAGAAAAAGAAGGAAAACTAATAGATAAAGAGAAAAAAAGTATGATTTTTGTACAAAGAATTATTGACTTTCCATTCAAATTGTTTATGTTTAGAGATTAATAATTAATATTCCTATTTTAATGGAACTGTGTGCTACAAATTTAAATATTTTCCTACCATAATTGTAATATTGGATTTCATGCTACGAATTTGTTATATTTCTTTTAAATTGTGACAGTTATGTAAAGTTCTCATACAATTTTAAGTGAGGAGGACATATATAACCCCGTTAGAAATTTATTTTTTAAGTTCTCCAAAGTCAACCTTATTGATTATTCTCGTAGTGGCCACTTAACATAAGTCAACAGTTCTTCTCCTTTAATTTGCGGTAGGCCATTTCTGTTAAGTGTTTGTCTTAATATTTTTATCATATTTGATTTTTCTATCCAATATATTTATCATAATTTTGTTTTTTTGTTTTTTAGAAGGAAATTATTAATGATATCTCATATTTGGCTAGGTCCTTTTTTCTTTGAAAAATTTTGAGCTTCTATAAATTAAGGATCCTTCTATAAATTATCATATGGGATTTGAGAATCTTATTTAGGGAAAGAATTTCGGGACAAAGTTAGTCTGTCACTTGTATTTGTCTCAATTGACCAAATTATATCAAATGTTTGAGTCTCTTCTTGTATATATAAATAGTATATCCAAAAGAAGTCCATTATATCCACCTTTTGCCTTTACAACCATCCATCTTGCTCCTCTGCTTTTCACACTCCAAGTTAACACTGCCGGCGTTCAGATAAATAGTAGTATTCACTTTTTGAAGAAAAATGAAGCATAAGAGAAATATCATTTGTGGTTTCTTCTTGTGTTTGCTTTACGCTATGGCCAAAACTGGCAGAGTCTCAGCGACAACACCATCTTCAGCTCCATCAACGTTGGACAAAAATGTTAAAATCAGCCCAGCGTTAGCGATAGTACTCGCTTGTGTCGTATTATTCGTGGTTGCAGTTATCATCACATTATATATACGTCACATGAACCCCGACGAACCAATGGGTTCTTACTTCTTCCGTCACCGACCTGTTTCCCGTGGACTTGAGCCAAATATCATTGAAACATTCCCTGTATTTGTCTATTCCGATGTCAAAGCCCTAAAAATGGGCAAATCTATCCTAGAATGTGCTGTTTGCATAAACAAGTTCGAAGATGAAGAAACTCTCCGCCTTCTTCCGAATTGTTGCCACGTGTTCCATCTTGAGTGTATTGATGCTTGGCTTGCCTTTCGTACCACTTGCCCCGTTTGCCGTTCAAATCTCGAAACAAAACCTTCTGGTAAACTGCAAGAAACAGTTCAAGAAACAGAAAGAAGCGACATAGTAATAGATATTCACGTGACTGCTGGTCCACAAGAAGTGATGGACCATCAGTCTCCTCAAACACCTACTCATATTTGGCCTGATGAGTCATTTTACTTTTTACTTTTTCTTTCCAAACATTTTTTATAAGATTTTTTTTTTCACACAATCAATATGTTGTAGTATATAGTAATTGGATAGTGGAAGCGTCACAATACAATAAATTTGCCTGACCCGGTTTCTCTTGGTTTCTTTTGTTATCAACAATTGCAGAATGAATGGTTTTTTCTTATCATTCTAATTTTTAAGATATAAAATAGATAGATGGTTACACATATGCCATGTGTGTTATATTTGGGCTGTATATTTGTGCAAATTTCCCTATTATTTTCGACCTTTACTACTCAAAACTCTAATTAAAACACCCGATCAAGCACATATGTTTTAGTAGTGGTATGAGTTAGCTTACTTTATACCCAACTAATCGCCATAAAATGATCTCTCTCTTTTTTTTTTAGCCAAAAATGATGTAGAATAATGGTTTCTCCATATAGAACATTTTCCACAAAAAAGTACTTATTATAGTAATTTCTAAATATAAAACATTTGACATCACACAACTACTCTAAATTAAATAAACAGTCCATATGTAGGGGTGCCCAATTACAGACGTAGGTATTTAGAACTATCAAAGGAAATTCAAAGTTGAAAAGACAAATCTATATCACAGTAGAATCTTAAATAGTTACAATAGTTGCGCATGATCAAAGTTCACAAATAAGGCACGAAAGCTACGAAAAAAAAAAGAGAGACATCGTTATCAACTATTGCAGTCGTTTTCCAGTTCACATTTTTCTAGTTGGAAAGCACTACTGATGATTTATATTGATTTATCTTGCTTTCGAATTTCGATCAAGTATATATTGATAACAATGTCTACATTGGTAAACGAATGTGCTAGAAAGTCCATTCAAGTACACCCACTTAAGGTGAATGGAAATTAGTCATTTGGCCCATAATAACAAATCTCAGAATCTTATCCACAAAGAATAACAATTAAGTGGTTCCTTGACCTAATAGACTAGGAGGTTGAAATCTTCTTCTTGTTTTAGTTGGTATTATTGCCAAAGAAAATTGTCAAAAATCCAATTACATAAAAGACCTTTAACTATATACTCCGTCCGTTTCAATTTATGTGAACCCATTTGACTGGGCACGGAGTTTAAGAAAAAAAAAAGACTTTTAAACTTGTGGTATAAAATGAGGTAAATATATTTTGTGTGGCTATAAATCATTGCATAAAGATAAATTGTTTCCAAATAAGGAAAAAGATCATTCTTTTTGGCACGGACTAAAAAGAAAATAATTTCACATAAATTGAAACGGAGGGATTATGTACTAAGAGTGGGGTTTGGAAAAGAAAAGAGGCAGGAGCTGTTAAGAAAGTTGATTCCCAATTAGTTGAGGAAATGCACTGTTGTTTTATATCAATGAGAAAGCTTTTGTAGTTGAGTTCTCAAAGCTGGACGATCTTTATTCTAGATTTATAGCTTGTTTTTTCAAGCTTTTAAAATCTGCTTATTTTGATAATTGCTTTTTTTAAAAGTGCTTTTCAAAAAAGTACTTTTGGTGAGAATCGATTTGTGATTAGCTAATTAATTTGAAAAACACTTTTGAACAGTAATTAGTGTTTGGTCAAACTTTTGAAAACTGCTTTTAAATGTATTTTTCTAAAAAATATTTATCAGAAAAGTGCTTTTGAAGAGAAGCTATATTTTTTTACTTCTAAAAATCTGCTTCTGCTTCTCCACTTTTTTTCATTCTAAAAACTTGGCCGAACACCTCAATATTTGGCCGAAAGCACTTTTGGCCCAAAAGAAAACTTGGCCAAACAAGCTATTATTCGATATTAGACTCGTTTAAATTGTCCAAATATCTAATCCTCTGTATGTGGGCCGAGGGACAAGGTGTTACAATATAATATACTCCCTCTGTTTCAATTTATATGAATTTATTTCCTTTTTAGTATGTGCCAAAAAGAATGACCAATTTCTTTATTTGGAAAGAATTTACCTTTATGCAATGATTTATAACCATACAAAATATATGCGTCTCATTTTACACTATAAGTTTAAAAGTCTTCTCTCTTTTCTTAAATTTTGTGCCTAATCAAATAAGTTCACATAAATTGAAACGGACGGAGTAATACACCCTGTTTGAGAGGTTGAACCATTTTCTGTTTCGCGTTGAAAAACGAAAAAAAGATAAATTTATCACATCATCACATGTAGCTACACATTTGGTACACGAATAGACTTAAAATCAGGTTGCATGTGCGCGACAGGCGACAGCACGGTAACTTAAATAAAGTCGCCGTAATTAGTCATACTCTTAAGTAATTATGCCATTATAATAACAAAAAAAAGTCAAATATATCCTTATACTATTAAAAATAATTTAAATATACTCTCCATTTTATTATTCGCTCAATTAAGACCCTATCATTATACTATGAAGCAAATATAGCCTAAATTTAGACGAAATAACACGTGGCAAGCTGAGATCTCAGATAACCCATTCCCAATTAATACCCGATTCCTTTTAAGAATCCACCCATTTTTAGACCATTATTCCAATGGCGTACGCAGAATTTTAGGCAACCGGTGATAAAATTTAAAAAATGAATGAATTGTTATAAAATAAAGACAGTAAAGTAAAGACAAGTATAGAGAGAGATTGATATATTATTCAAACTTCAAATTTATGTACATAATGAACTGAAAACTCCTTTATTTATAGAAGAAAGAAAGCAGCTGCGAGGCTTTTCAGGAAGCAACTGGAAGGCTTTTCTTTAGCTGCTTGTAAGTTGTCTGCATAAGCTGCTTGCAACCTGCCTGTTTAATAAGAAGCTGCTGCAAATCATTTCATTGAGCTGCTTGCAACCTGCCTGCATCAGCTGCTTGTAGATAAACTTCAATAGAGTACTAAATAGATAATCTTCTTCAGGAAGATTATCTATAGCAGAGTAATAAATGAACATCCACAACATAATTATTTTCATAACACTCCCCCTTGGATGTTCATTAAAAGGTATTGTGCCTCGTTAAAACCTTACTAGGAAAAACCCAGTGGAAAAAATTCTAGTGAAGGAAAAAGAGTACACATATTTAGTAATACGTATTTCTAGATGCCTCATTAAAAACCTTATAAGGAAAATCCTGTGGGAAAAAACCTTAGTAAGGAAAAAAGAGTATATCGCGTATTTTACTCCCCCTGATGAAAATCTTGTTTCAAATATTTGAGTCTCCGCATTCCAATCTTGTATACCATCTTCTCAAAAGTTGAAGTTGGCAAAGATTTAGTGAATAAATCTGCCGGATTGTCACTTGAACGGATTTGTTGCACATCAATGTCACCATTTTTCTGAAGATCGTGTGCGTAGAATAATTTTGGTAAAATGTGCTTCGTTCTATCTCCTTTTATAAATCCTCCCTTTAATTGGGCTATGCATTCAACATTGTCTTCGTATAAAATTGTGAATTTTTTCTCACATTCCAAACCACATTTTTCTCGAATAAAATGAATTATTGATCTCAACCATACGCATTCTCTACTTGCTTCATGAATACCTATTATTTCGGCACGATTTGAAGAAGTAGCAACAATAGATTACTTTGTGGAGCGCCATGATATGATAGTACCTCCACATGTAAATACATACCCGGTTTGATATCTAGCTTTATGAGGATCAGATAAATAACTTGCATCTGCATAACCAACAAGATCTGCACTAT